ATCACTACCACCATCATAATCACCATCACCACCATCATCACCATCATCATCACTACCACCATCATAATCACCATCACCACCATCATCACCATCATCATCACTACCACCATCATAATCACCATCACCACCATCATCACCATCATCATCACTACCACCATCATAATCACCATCACCACCATCATCACCATCATCATCACTACCACCATCATAATCACCATCACCACCATCATCACCATCATCATCACTACCACCATCATAATCACCATCACCACCATCATCACCATCATCATCACTACCACCATCATAATCACCATCACCACCATCATCACCATCATCATCACTACCACCATCATAATCACCATCACCACCATCATCACCATCACCACCATCACCACCATCATCATCACCATCACCACCATCATCATCACCAACAACATCACCATCACCACCATCACCACCATCACCACCATCATCATCATTGTCACTACCAAAATCACCATCATCAGCAGCAACAGCACCATCATCACCACCAACATCACCATCATCATCACCATCACTACCACCATCATCATTTACTCTCCAGGGTCAGAGGAGATACCATGGAGGAACCATGAGGTCCCATGAACACCTGTACCCCAACTCAGAATGAGGCATCACTTCCACATGAAATGTGACCCAGCAATTACTGGGGCCACCATTTCATTTTGTGTTGGTCCCCAGCCTCTGATTCATTAGGGGACAGGAACTCAGTGTTCTGGTAACAGGCAGAAAGTACCCTGCAGGCCCCTTCTTGGTGGGTTATTCATTTCTTGAATCACTTGCCCGTTCCACTAAATGCTCCAGAACACTTACTTTGTGATGTACAAAGTCCTGCTCTACAAAGAGAAACAAACTCCATGGGCCCGGGCGAGGCTGACCTTGTGTGGAAAAAGCTCGCTGAATGGAAACATTGAAAAAATATTCCAAGCCATCCTTTGGATTCTATGCATATTCAAGGTCTACAAATTCCCAGTGTCAAAAAAAAGCCACAGAAAGCACTATGAAAGAATAAAAAAGGATAAATTGGACTTCATTTAAAATTTAAAAACCTTTTACTCATTAAAAGACGCAATTAAAAAATGAAAAGGCAGGCTAGGAGACTTATTTACAACACAGATCTGATGGTGACCCGATAAACAGGGTCATCACAAGAAAAGAACTTAACTTCCACATGCCCAGACAAGAGGGAGTGTTCCAATTAGAAATGAAAAGAACCCACAACAGATACTTCTTGAAAGAAGTCATGCATGTGGTAAAGGGACCTACAGAGGGCTTATCACAAATGCCACTGGGGAAATGCAGGCCACCCTCACGGTAAGAAGCAGTTTCACACCCACCAGAGATCAGAGACTGATACCACCAAATGCTGCTGTTGACATGGAGCACCTGGAAAGATCAGGCACTGAGGTGTGGGTCCCAGGTGGCCCTGCAGCTTAGAGTGCGTGTTGTAATTCCTTCCTTCGTCCTTCTCCCTCGCTCCCTCTCTCCATCTCCCTCCCTCCCTCCCTCTTGTCTTCTCTCCTTCCTCCCTCTCTTCCATTAAATGTGCATGTGTGTGTTTGTGTATATATAAATACACATAGGGGTGCACATGTACCTGTGTGCATGTGAACACCGGAAGAGAACCTCAGAACTCCGTCCACCTCATTTTTGAGTCAGGGTCTTGAGCTCGCCCACCATACTTCACTGTGTGACCATCAAGACCCTGTCTGCCACCTCAGTGCTGGAATCACTGCACCACCACACCTGGTGTTTTTACAGGGCTTCTGGGAATGGAACACTTTACCGACCTAGTTGTTTCCGCAGTCCTATGTGGTAATTTCTTATGCGACTGAACAGGCTCCAACCACGTGGCCCATCAGTTTTTCCCCCAGAGAAGCAAAGAGACATGAAATCACGCGTCTACCAAAACATGCATGGGTACACTCTCAGAAGGGTATGTAGCTGATGGTGACCAGAAAGTGGGGTGGGAGGTCATGGTCCCATAACCCCCGTGGTGGTGGTGGCATGCCCCCGATAACCTAACCTAGCCGCACACCCAAAAGATCCCACTGTTTCCCAGTAGTTCCATAGCTGAGGGCCCAGCCTTGAACACAGGCCTCTGGAGGACAGTCCAGATGGGAGTTGAGTGCTGAAGGGGACACCCCACTTCAGTCCCAACACAGGTCTGTGCACACCCATCAGACACATTTAACCTTCCCAGACTGCGTGAGTACTATTGTATGCAACTTAGCTACAAAAGAAGTTACTAGAAAGATGTCCACATAAAACAAAACACACACTTTCCTGCAAATCTCCTGCCCTGGAGCCCAGCCTATGGCTGCTGTCCCTGTCTTTTACTCTCCAAGATGTTGGGTGGACCCATGGCATTCTATGGTGCAATATATCTGCCAGTGACTCTGGGGACAAGGATTCCCCTCCTGCACCTAAAGATGCCTGTGTCCTAGTTCCAGGACCCACCATGTCACCCACACAGTGACCTAAAAAGGTGACGGACCGTAGATGGCATCAAAGCTGCCAGTCAGGCAGCCTGGACCTGAATTATCTAGCTGGAGTCATTGGTCACACGAGCATCTAAAACTGGAGGATGTGGAGGCAGAGGGAAGGTCTGAGAGATGAACCCAGAGACTGACCCAGCCCATAGCTGCTGGTCTCATAGGGGAGGAGGGCACCAGAGCCAAGGCCAGCCAGCCACCCCTAGGAGCCAGAAAAGAGAGGAAACAGGCCCTCTCCCAGCAGAGATTCCTGAAGGAACCAGCTCTATTGACACCTTGATTGAGGCCTAGTCAGCTGCCCTGTCTTCTGACTTTCAAACAGCAGAGACTGGATTTGCACTGTCAAAAAAAAAAACTGACTTTGTTTTGATATATTCCGGCTCTTAAGACCCCTAGGGGCACAAGGAGATGCGGTTGAACTGTCTTCCTCCCATGTCCAGCAAAACCCTGGGGGCTGGGGGTGCTCAGGAAGAGGTGACATGGAAACACTTGGGGTGAAGACTCAGGATCCATTCTGCCCTCCCAGGTTGCCCAAGACACAGAACAGCCCTCAGAGGGAGCTTGTAACCAGGTCGGCACAGGTAGACAATGGTGCTCTATCAAGGATGCCACTGTGGGTCTGAGTGGGGGCACGGAGCCCTTTGGGAAGTCTCCTTACCAAACCATGACAGCTTCTGCTGTGATGAACCCCAACACAAGCCTCCACCTGCAGAAGCTCCTCTCACAGGATGGGTGTCCGTCTGGCAGGCTCTACCACCCGTGGGGGACTCTGCCAGTGGGCTACGAGAAGCTGCAAATCTCTCACAAGGCTGGCCGGAGGGTGGGGCAGGGTGCTGCACACCATGTGGCCACTTCTAGTAAGTCCCGGTCTTCTATAGGATAGAGGAAACAGGACGGGCCAAGGACCTCTCAGGTAGCTCCCCAGGGCTGACTGTCTAGGTGTGGGTCAGCCGCATATCAAAGCCCTACCAATGGGAGAGGAGAGGACAGGGTGACACAAGTGGCTTTGAGGGTAAATATGGGAAGGGGGGCGGTGTTGACCTCACTCTCTAGCTTCATCCTTCCTAGATGTGGGGTGGGCCAGGCTGTTTGCAGCGGAAGCTGGGGGCACACCGGGGCTGGATGTAGGTTGGGGGCCATGAAGGACCAGCTGATACTGGATGCTTAGTGCTCTCACAGCCTCAACTAGCAAAACCTGCTCCAGCCACACAGTATTCCCATCCCATCACTTCCCACCTTGCCTTTCAAGGTCTGGCGTACTGGCTGCAGATGTAGCTCAGTGGGGGAGAGTGCTTGCCTAGCATGCACCAACCCTGGGTTTGATCCTCAGTAACACATGAACCAGGTGTGGTGGCACACACCTGCAATCCCAGCACTCAGGAGATAAATGAAGGAAGATCAGGACTTCAAGGTCATCCTTGACTATATGGGGAATCAGAGGCTAGCCTGGGATACATGAAAGTGCTTGAAAACAAAAATATAAACAAACAAAAAATGGGCCTGGCATGAGGCACTTATTAGATTGATACCCCACAATGCAATCCAGCATTTGCATCTAAGCAGCATCCACAGCAAGCGGGTCAAGACACACAGATCACTGCCTCAAAGCCAAGTTCTCAGAGAGAAAGCTTGTCTCACCCCTGACAGACTTTAGGGGCCCTGTGGCCCAGGTTGACTTGACCAAGGACCCAGGTAGCTCAGCATGGAGTACTCAGACAGCGAGCCCCAAAATATGGGGTAAAGGACAGATCTGAACCAAATCCAGTGGCCGCAGGGTCCACATAGACAGCACAGTCAGTATCCGCAGAAGGTGTTTTTGGGAGTACATGGTCCAACTGGAACCCACAGAAGAGGTGAATCTCACGGGTGGCCACAGGCCACCAGGGGTCCCCTCTGTCCAGCTCTCAGATCATCTCATATAAATGGCCCCTGACATCATCACCGTACCAATCCTTTTAAACCACCTAGAATACTTTTCAGCCAGAGCAGGTTTGGGGAGAGCTCTAAGGAACAGTGCTAAGACAGCTTTGACTTGAGTCCTGGGCAGTTCCCTCTGTACAGTCCTCCCTGGGGAGGGTCTGGGGAGCCCTGCCCATCAACACAAGCTCCTGACACTCACACCGGGGACTGAAGAAAACATCACTCAGCCCCAGAGTCTCCTTAAGATGGCAAGGACACACACTTCACATCTGTGCAACAAGTCTACACAGGATGCACACCCTGCTGCCTTTGACCAGCTCACGACACGGGTCTGCCACATGTGTCAGGTTTGGACAGAGCCCAGTGCAACGGAACCAGTCAAGCTGTTTTCAAGGATGATGTAGGGACACAGGAGGTTTGCAATGCTGCCTCTTTCCACGTGGCCATTTTTACACACTCCAGGAGAGCAGACCCAGTGGTGCGGCTGGGCCCCCACAATGTGACCAGGCCCTGTAAGGTCGACGGGTACCTTCGAGGCCACCTTACCTGCCTGGCTGTCCCGGGGCTTGCACTGCACCTCCTCCACACACTCAGCCGGGAACCATCCGATGTGGCCGTGGGCGCTGCCTTCCCAGAAGCCTCCTTCACCGATGCTCAGAACTGGAGGTGACAGAAAGGGGAAAGTCTTCAGAGAGAGGGGCAGAAAGGATGGAGTGATGGGACACCCAACAGTGGCAGAAGAAGCGAGGGCCTGTACCACCAGCCCAGGACAATGCTTCCCTCAGGTGGTTGGGACTCACGTGGCCCTCAGGGAACACAGTGTCAGGCCCTGGCCCTGCCCACTGTCCTCTCCCACCTGGTGGGTGATGGAGGACAGTGAAGCCTGGAGGTCCTTCAGCTTTTTCATTTTGTCATACATATGTGTGTGCATGTACACGTGTGTGTGCACACGGAGTCCAGACAACCTTGGCGTTCATCCTTAGGAACATGCTCCACTTTATTTATTTATTTATTTATTTATTGGTCTTTTTTTTTTTTTTGAGACAGGGTCTCCTTGTAGTCCCAGCTGGTCTGGAACTCACTATGTAGACCAGGCTGGTCTCAATTTTACAGAAGCCCACCTGCCTCTGCCTCCTGAGTGCTGGGATTAAAGGCGTGAGCCACCACATCCAGCTTATCACCTTATTTTTTTAAGACAAGATCTCTCATTGGCTCAGAGTTTGCCCATTAGGTCAGGCTGGCTGGCTAGTGAGCTCCAGGGATCTCCTGTCTCTGCCTCCTCGGTGCTGGGGTTACAAGCAAATGTCACCTGGCCCAGCCCTTTACACGAATTCTAGGGCTTGAACTCAGGTCCTCCTACCTGGAAGACAAACACTTTACTGAAGGGACCATCTCCCGGCCCACATCACGCATGTGTTAGTTGAACCAAGTGCAGTGCCACTGGTGCTATTTCTCCACATACTTCCTGGAGGGGTGGGGGCTGGACATCCCCACCATCAGGATTTCGGGTGTAAAAGTTGGGGACTGCCACTTCCAAAGGAAAGAGCACTGGGGTACTGTCTTCCTACCCTGGGTGGAGGGTAGAAGGCTGAAGAGATGTCCAACTGCCAGCTCTCTAGAAAATTCCACCTGCCTCTTTGGAGTCTAACTTAGTGTGAAAAGAATACAAGCCCAAAGCCGTCTGATCTTGAGCTGTCGTCCCAATGGTGGGCAGCCCTTGGCTGAAGGTAGCCCAGTGTGGCACTGGCTCCACGGCAGAGGGAAGTCATAAAGAAACCACTGACTGTTGCTGCTGGTGAGAAGAAACCAATCTCTTTAGGGAGAAGGGAAGGTGGCCACATGGTGGCTGGTCCTCAGGGACAGAAATGGCCGGCTGCAGGGCGAGGAGCCATTTCAACCCAGGAGGAAACCCTCCCTGGGCTGAGTGGCAGGCACAGAGCAGCGATAAAAAACGAAGGACGAAAAGAAAGGGTATTTCTTTTAAATTCAGCTGCTGGACATGAGCAGGAACATGAGCCCAAAGACACCAGGGGCTGGGGAGAGGTTCCTGGGTCCACACGGCTCCCTCCAGCCCCATTAGTGGGAAGATTCCAGCTCTAAAGACAGAGATGTTGGGAATGGCGGAACTCCCCAGCCGCTCTACACATCTCAATCTGCTTTTAAATTACTCAGGGCTCAGCTGTGGTGAAGCACCGGGAGTGCTTCCCTCCTTCTTTCCAATCTCAAAGGGTAGATAAAGAGCCACCCGGCCCACTGATTTGAAAGGTCGACCAAACGATAAGCACAAAGAAACAACCGAAATGGAACGGACAAGCTGTGCCTCCAGCTCAGCACACTGTCCTAACTGCCTGAAGCAATTTCCTCCAAACATAACGCACTCTGAACTCCACACAGCCCTGCTCCTGGCGGAGCCCTGAACCCAAGCAGGCCATCCTGGGGTGTGGCCCTGGGTATAAGGAGGCCAGGGCTGACTCAGTCACGCACCAAGGCCCACAAGGACACTTGCAGTGTCCTTTTTCAGGGCTGTGAGCAGGTCACCCTGGTGCTCGAAAGCACCTGGCAGAAATGGAATCTCCAGGGTCAGGCTGGTATCCTGCCGTGCCACACCATATACCAGGAGCCACACTCGGGACAGCTTCCTTAATCACTCTGTGACTCGGTTTCCTCACTTGTCAGAGAGGAATACTATCTCGCTCACAGTGTCACTGTGTAAACAGAGGCATCAGAGCACAGCACAGAGCTAGGATACGGTCTCGTTTGTGGTGTCCTGCCATGCCACCTGCCCTGGAGGAACCCTGCAGGCAGTTGATTCCTTTCAGACGCACGCTCCATCGTGCTGTCAGGATGAGGCCCGGAGGAAAGGCGAAAGTCTTGTGAGCACAGACTGGTGCAGAGAGAGACCAGGTCATGTTCTGAGGAACTCACCAGGGTGGGAGCCTCCTGTCTCTTCAGGGTGTTTTCAGAGACAGGGGGCGGGGGACAGGAAACAACAGGATGTACGTCCAGACTGGATGGAAGTGGGAGGGAGGGGTAGAGGCAGGACTTGGGGTCCTGTTCTGAGCATGTATGTACCAAGCTGTCTTAAGCAGCCACGCTTGTCTACATTGGTGCTGGCTCATGGGCCTGCGCCTTATACACTCTACACACCGGTTCTGCCTAACTGAATGCAAGAGTTTTGCTTGCATGCCTGAGGGAATCACCTGTGTCCAGGTGAGAGTGGGTGTGGCTGTGTGGGAGTAGGTGTATCTGTTTGGAAGTGGTTGTGCTTTGTGGGTGTGTACAGGACTGTGTGGGCGTGTCTGTAAGGAGTAGGTGTGTCCATGAGTGGGCATGTCCCTGTGGGAATGTCTTATGGAAGTGGATGTATTCCTGTGGGAGTGGGTACTCCTTACCAGTAAAGGGGGAATCAGGCTTGGCTTCCTCAAGAATCAATGATCTAATTCAGAAAATCAGACTTGTGTAAGATGATGCTTACAGAAATCAGGAGGGCATCTCTTCCACAGCAGAACAGGAAAGAGCACTGGGCTAGCAGAAGTGAACCTGGGCTCATGGCAAGGAGCCAAGGGACCTGGGGGTCCTGTTCCCACCGTAAGCCTACTTTCTTGTGAGGGAACAGACTGAGTGAACTCTAGAGACCCACTTCCTCCCACAGGTGACAGCATGACAGACTGGAAAGACCTTATCCCCAGAGCCCACACTTCCAGGGGGCCAAGGGCAAGATGGGATTACCTCCCCTGCAAAGGCATGGGGGAGGCAGAGGGAGGACCAGGAGGGCAAGGAGCAGCTGCCCATTGGGCTGGGTCTCCAGGGGCCCTAGGAGAACTTGGGAAGAGCTATCGCTTCAGGTGGCTGGAGGGAGGATAGGTTGCACTTAGCATCCCCGGGGCCTAGAACCTGCTAGAAGGAAGGACCATCCTAACTACACCGATCTTGCCACAGGCAGTGCTCTAAGGCATCAATGGGAGCCAAGAGCTCCCTGCCCGCTTTCTGTAGGCCCAGCTGCACTGTCTAGGTGACGGCCACCACAGGGTCTTCCTCTGCAGGTGTGCAGGCGTAGAGGGTGGTTTCCCTACTCTCTGCCCCACTCAGCCCTGCCTGGGTATGGAAAGGAGTCAGGGCATGGAGGCGTGAGGACCCGAGAGGTGACCACTCCCTTGTTCTACAACAGCCTCCTGCTTGGCACACAACCTGAGCCATCCAGTATGTACGTAGCCCTTGGCTTGGATTCAGCCTAGGTGTCCTGTGGCCAGGTCCTGGGCTGGACTCAAAGACGGTGCAAGAGGGGGGGCTGGTGCTAGAGGAGTTGTCTGTGGGGGGATGGGGGTCCTCTCCTCCCTTCTCCTGTGAGCCCTCTTCTCTTACGAGATCCACTTTCTCCTGGCTAGCAGCTTCAGGTACCTGATCCCAGGGACCCCGGGGCACCCTAGGTTCACACCTGCACACACAGATCTTGGCTGGGCATCAGCTCAGGAACTTGGGAGCTGGATAGGGTCACGGGGCCCAGTCCTCAGCAGCTGGCTTACAGCAGTCCTCATCTCTCTCCTCTGTCGCCATTCACAGCTTATAGAGAAGGACGCAAAGCCCCGAGAATAGTCCGCGCAGGAGCCCACAGCCACCCAGACCCACAGGCGATGTGTGCTGTGGCCTGCGGCTGCCTGTCCAACATGAGCAGTGGCTGCATCCAGCTGGCTCCCAGTGCCACTCAGACAATGATGTCCAAGCACGGCGGGTGCTAGGGACCCCTCTACTCCCTGGTCTCGCCAAATGCTGCATGCACCTGGCAATGCCCCATCTGTTTTCTGTTTGATAGAAGAGCAGGGAGAGGCAGAGGCTGGAGAGGACAGACATGCTGAGGGGACAGACAGGCCTTGAGGCCTGGGCTGCTCAGGCCCCTGTGCCCTGGCCTGACCCTGCCAACTCCACTATGGGCTCCAGAGCTCATGGAAGCCACGTAGCCAGTGTTAATACAAGCCTGGGTAGATGTGGGGCCTGTGCTTTGGACCCCACAGTGCCCCTTTGTAAACTGCAAAGCTGGGGGGATGTGAGATTTACCCTGAGGGCCACAGTGCTGATACAGGCAGCAGCTATCCAGAGAGGTGGCTTCCCATACATCCTCTGGTTCAGGGAAGGCCACATAATAAGGATGGTTTTATGTATATGTGGTATATGTACATGTTCAAGTATGTGTGTGTGTAGTGTATACATATGCATGCCTGTACGTGTGGAGGCCAGAAGTCATTGCTGGGAATCCACTTTGTTTACCTTATACCTCATGCCTGGAAACGGGGTCTGTCACTGAACTCAGAGCTCACCAATTCCTCTAAACTGGCTGGCCAGTAAACTCCAGGGATCTGCCTGCCTTTGCTCCCACGGGGCTGGGATCGCAGATGGACACCACTGTGCCGGGGTTTTCACATGGAACATGGGCACGAGGGATCTGAGCTGAGGTCCTCATGTTTGCACAGGAAGCACTTCACAATCAGACCCAGATCCCCAGTCCAAGTGAGAATGCTTCACGCCCCAGATGGCCGGCCTGTGTGAGCACTGTAGATGAATCTGTCAGCGAGGCACCACCCCAGCCGCCAGTCCACCACACCTGTGCACTGCAGCAGAATCAGCCACACCTCTTGGAAGATCAGCCAGTACTCTCTACTTGTAGAGGGGGAAGGGCCTGGTCCACGGTGGGTCATATTACCAAAAATTCAAAACTGTAGCACATATAAAATTTTACATTCACAATTTAAAAACTACAAAATTTCTTTTTAAGTTATATTTGAACAATCATGCAGCTCTGTTTATAGCTATGGTGGACAAAGACCCCACTGGACCCCCGCATGGGGAACAGTTCCAAAGCCTACCCATAATGCCAACAGCCACTACCTGATAGGCCTGGAACAGGGGTGGCCAGGCTGGAGTGGGGTGTGCGTGCTTGATGGAAGGAACAGGAAGGGAGATGCACAAGATCCCCATCCCTGACCCTTAACCAGTGCAAAGCACGGTCCCCACAGCAAGCCAGGAGCGGAGGAAGAGGGAAGCCCACAGTGTGAGAAGATGGAAGGACCGGGGAGCTGGAGCTGGAAAGCACAGATTCAGGTCCCTGAGAGGGGAAGGTGCAGGGGAGTGGAGAGAGAGACACCCCATCTGTCTATTCACTCTGCCAAGTGCTGATGCTACAAGATCTGAGCCAAACGACCTACTGAAATAGGAAGACAGAACCTTGGAGTCCAAACTCCCCACCATGTAACAGGCTGATGTCCAGAATGCAACAGAAAATCACCAGATTCCCGGATGAGGGGACTGAAAAGAAGACAAAAGCAAATTCAGAGCACAAACCCCACATGAACTTGCTGTCGGCGGAACCATCAGACGGGGACTTCAACGTGGCACATACATCAAGCCGTGGTGTTGTAAAAAACGCACGTTTTCAATGAACAGAAATCCCAACTGAGTCATAAGGAGGCTTGGCAACGAGAAAGAAGCAATTTAAAGCACACGCTCAGAAATCGTAGTAAATGTAATTTCTGAAATTATGAAAGAGGGACGAGATGGAAGGGGGCTTTGAGAGGAAAGACTAAATGAGCTTAAAAGAGAAGTGAACAGAGCTCTGGGGACTTCTTAGAGGGAGCAGAGGCGCAGAGACTCAGAAGCTGAATGCCAGGGCTAGGACAGGACGGGTCCGCCCTGTCCTGAGCCTCCTGGTAACCCAGGTGAGGTATGGATAAAGGAACTGATGGGTGCCTTGCTGTGGGTCCAACAGTGACAGGGCTGGAAGGGCAGGGGCAGAAGCCCCTCACCCACCTCTGAGGAGCACCTTCCTTAGTGAGAGTCTGTCCAGTGGCCGTGCCTGGGCATAGGCATATGAAGTGTGCGCTCCTTCCTCAGCCAGTGAGTGGCCCCTGCGGTGTGGCCCCTGCAGCCACACCTGCCTCTTCTCCAGGTCCCTCTGCGGCCTTCAGCCACAGGCTTCAAAGTGCTACTATCTCCCTTCCACTCTGCACAAACCATCCCACCCACGCCCCTGATGTGCCTCACAGACTCCTGTCCTCCCCTGTGCAGGACCCACTGCTGGCTCCCTAGCACCCCCGGGACAGCACACCTTGATCTGGCATTCTCAAAAGCTCCCAGGATTCTTCTGGAGAATCTCCTTCCCCTGATGGGTTTCTTTCCTTTGGATGGAAAGCCAGTCCCTGCTCACCCAGTGGGCACCACTTCCTCGTGGGTTTTTCTGGACCAGAAAGGAGCTCCGCTTGCTGAGCTCTGGTTTGGCTCCTCCCCGAACTTCCTACAGTGGAATCTCACCCCAGGCTCACCTTGGATATACTGAAAGGACAGGTGAGAGTCACTGTGTCCCTGGAGAGTCCGCATTTCCCACAGGGCGCCTGTGGAACTGATGCTCTGGACTCTGCCCCTCCCCCACTCCTGGCAGACTTGCCAAAGGGGGTCCGCGGAGGTAGAGAGGTCAAGGGCAGACGCTGACCTTTGACTCTGTCGCCTCGGTGAAGGGGGATCTCGCCGTCAACTTGGGGTTGGTATGGCTTGACAACGACGAAGAGCCTTCCGGGCACGGCACTATACAGCTTCCGCTTGGGCCCTGGGTACTCGAAGGTCGAGAGGGAGTCCTTGGTGGCACCAGGAGAGAAGGGTGACCTGGATCAGACAACAGGAGCAGAGAGAGAGGAGGGTCAGAAGGTTGCACTCTGTCAACTGTGGCCGATGTGGTTCACGCTGCTGAGCTGGGAACTGACAACAGCCAAGATGGAAAACTTTCTAAGTGGGCAGAGGCCGTGATGGCAAAGCCCTTGTGGTTTTCCAACTCACTGTGAGAATCCATCACGCCAGTCTGGACAGACATGGAGCCTTCCACCAAAAGTGGTCATTACTGTGGCACAACTTGCCGGCGACTTCCAAGAGGAACCCACGGTCTTTCTTGCTTGCTTTATATTACCAATGTACCAGGCCCATCTCCACCCTGATGGAAGAAGCCTCAGCGAGGCCAGACGCACACACAGGACAAAGGTGCTCACACAGGTCTGCCTGCAGAGTACTCTTGGCAATGCCCGGTACCATTCGGACCGGGATTGGGCTGATGGAGAAGAGCATTGCCCTGTGTCCCAAGTAGAGACAACCTCAAGATGGCATCCTGCCTCTCCCCAGGATGGGACGCATTAGACACAAACATGAGGGAATGTTGCAGGGACGTCAGGGCAATGTCCCCAGGCCTCCTGACCAGAAAGCAGCGAGAGCATTCATGGTACTGGAACCTTCCAAGAGGGTCATGGGAAAAGAGTAGACATTAATGACACAGGGGAAGGCTCCAGAATGGGAAGCACACCAGAATCTACAGTGGGGTCCTGAGTTCACGGCTGTAGAGGCTGGCTATGGTCTCTGCGCCCACAGAGGTGGCATGTTAAAATATCTGGTGGAAAAAACAGGAAGGGCTTGACTTACAGTTCCAGACCACAGTCTATCACTGTGGGGAAATCAAGGCAGGAACTTCTAAGAGCTAGTCACATCTCATGCACAGTCAAGATGAGAGAGAAATGCATCTGCACGTGCGTGCTCTCTTGGCTCAGTTTTTCTCCTCGCTTACACAGTCCAGGACTCCAAACCCAGGGAATGGTGCCTCCCACAGTGGGCTGTGTTCCCCACATCAATTACGGCAATTAAGATAAGTCCCTCACTGACCAACCCAATCTAGGCAATCTCTCCTTGAGACTCTTCCCAGGGCCTTTGGAATCGTGTGGCCCTTGCTACACCCCTGTAAAGGCACCAGGGTTTGGGGTGGGCTTACAGAATTGCTGAAGCACAACATGCTATACTTTGCTGTGGGTCTTCACCTGGCAAGGAGGCAGACACGTTATCCCCTGTGCCACTGGCCCCAAAGTCCTTATTTTTCAACTGGTGTCATGACCACGAGATCCAGCTACTGGGTGATGTCTTTGAGGAGCCCAGTCTGCAGATGTGAAATTGGGGCTGTGGCATGCTAAATTTAGACCCTCATTTATACCGCTGGTGAGGATGGACGGGGACAGAATGTACAGAACCTGCCAGGCCCCGACGCCTGGATCTGTCCTTTACCCGCAAAGAGCACAAAGCACAGGAAACCAGGCCAGGCCGCCTGACCTCTGCTGGCACAGGTGTGAGGACCTGGAAGCATACCTGAGCTCTGAGGACATAGGGAGGTAGGAGTCTGCACAATGATGGGGTTCTCCCCAACAATGCCCCCTCCCCACCGGGTTTTCTCTTATAGCTGCTGATGCAACATTGTGGGATTGTGGATTCATGTGCCTAAGTGGGCTCTGTGACCAACAGAGTGCATAAGGTGCAGACAAGGGACAGGGTTTGGTCTCAGCGTCACCTCCTGATATAACCCCTCTGCCAGGCCAGACACTTCATCTTGAGGCTTCATGGGGCCATCCAGCTCTCTATCCTCCTACATATCCATCCATCATCCATCATCCATCAGTTTATCTACATGCATAGTTATCCACCCTTGCCATATCCTTCAGTCATCCACCACCCATGTGTCATCCATGCATACATCCATCCATCCATCCATTGTCCCACATATCTACCCATCATCCATCCATTTATCCACCCATATATCCATTAATTCATCCTCTCACATCCAACCACTCATCAATCCATCCACCCACCCATATATCTATCCATTTACCCACATGTACATCTATCCACCCACCCATATATCTATCCATTTACCCACATGTACACCCATCCACCCACCCATGTATCTATCCATTTACCCACATGTACACCCATCCACCCACCCATGTATCTATCCATTTACCCACATGTACACCCATCCACCCACCCATGTATCTATCCATTTACCCACATGTACACCCATCCACCCACCCATGTATCTATCCATTTACCCACATGTACACCCATCCACCCACCCATGTATCTATCCATTTACCCACATGTACACCCATCCACCCACCCATGTATCTATCCATTTACCCACATGTACACCCATCCACCCACCCATGTATCTATCCATTTACCCACATGTACACCCATCCACCCACATGTACATCCACCCACCCACCCATGTATCTATCCATTTACCCACATGTACATCCATCCACCCACCCATGTATCTATCCATTTACCCACATGTACACCCATCCACCCACCCATGTATCTATCCATTTACCCACATGTACACCCATCCACCCACCCATGTATCTATCCATTTACCCACATGTACACCCATCCACCCACCCATGTATCTATCCATTTACCCACATGTACACCCATCCACCCACCCATGTATCTATCCATTTACCCACATGTACACCCATCCACCCACCCATGTATCTATCCATTTACCCACATGTACACCCATCCACCCACCCATGTATCTATCCATTTACCCACATGTACACCCATCCACCCACCCATGTATCTATCCATTTACCCACATGTACACCCATCCACCCACCCATGTATCTATCCATTTACCCACATGTACACCCATCCACCCACCCATGTATCTATCCATTTACCCACATGTACACCCATCCACCCACCCATGTATCTAACCATTTACCCACATGTACATCCATCCACCCACCCATGTATCTATCCATTTACCCACATGTACATCCATCCACCCACCCATGTATCTATCCATTTACCCACATGTACACCCATCCACCTACCCATGTATCTATCCATTTGCCCACATGTACATCCATCCACCCACATGTACATCCATCCACCCACCCATGTATCTATCCATTTACCCACATGTACATCCACCCACCCACCCATATATCTATCCATTTACCCACATGTACACCCATCCACCCACCTGTACATCCACCCACCCACCCATATATCTATCCATTTACCCACATGTCCACCCATCCACCTACCCATGTATCTATCCATTTACCGACATGTACACCCATCCACCCACCTGTACATCCACCCACCCACCCATATATCTATCCATTTACCCACATGTCCACCCATCCACCTACCCATGTATCTATCCATTTACCGACATGTACACCCATCCACCCACCTGTACATCCACCCACCCACCCATATATCTATCCATTTACCCACATGTCCACCCATCCACCTACCCATGTATCTATCCATTTACCGACATGTACACCCATCCACCCACCTGTACATCCACCCACCCACCCATATATCTATCCATTTACCCACATGTCCACCCATCCACCTACCCATGTATCTATCCATTTACCGACATGTACACCCATCCACCCACCTGTACATCCACCCACCCACCCATATATCTATCCATTTACCCACATGTCCACCCATCCACCTACCCATGTATCTATCCATTTACCGACATGTACACCCATCCACCCACCTGTACATCCACCCACCCACCCATATATCTATCCATTTACCCACATGTCCACCCATCCACCTACCCATGTATCTATCCATTTACCGACATGTACACCCATCCACCCACCTGTACATCCACCCACCCACCCATATATCTATCCATTTACCCACATGTCCACCCATCCACCTACCCATGTATCTATCCATTTACCGACATGTACACCCATCCACCCACCTGTACATCCACCCACCCACCCATATATCTATCCATTTACCCACATGTCCACCCATCCACCTACCCATGTATCTATCCATTTACCGACATGTACACCCATCCACCCACCTGTACATCCACCCACCCACCCATATATCTATCCATTTACCCACATGTCCACCCATCCACCTACCCATGTATCTATCCATTTACCGACATGTACACCCATCCACCCACCTGTACATCCACCCACCCACCCATATATCTATCCATTTACCCACATGTCCACCCATCCACCTACCCATGTATCTATCCATTTACCGACATGTACACCCATCCACCCACCTGTACATCCACCCACCCACCCATATATCTATCCATTTACCCACATGTCCACCCATCCACCTACCCATGTATCTATCCATTTACCCACATGTACATCCACCCACCCACCCATGTATCTATCCATTTACCCACATGTACATTCATCCATCCACCCACCCACCCATCCATCATCTCACATATTCATCCTTTATCCATCTACTCATCTTTCATCCATCCATTTATATACCTGTATATCCATCTATTCACCTACATATCTATCCATCCATCCATCCATTCATTTTCTCACATAACCATCCATCCATCTATCCATTCATCCATCCAACCACTTGTCCATTCATCCATCTACCCAGATATCTACCCATCCACCCACCTACCTATTCATTTATCCATCCACATACCAATCCATCCACCCACCCATCCATCTGTCCACCCACCTACCCATCCATCTACGCACTCACCCATTCATCCATCTACCCATCCATCCAGGAGGGGACCATCAGGAGTGACCATGAGAATGAGTCAATAGGAATCCACTGAGCATGGTTCTGTGGCAGCAGGAAAGTGGGTAACACAATGCCAGGGGTGGTCTAGTTACATCAAGCCAGGGCCAGAATGCAATCCTGAACTTGGAAGTCAATGTGAACACAGCCCTGGAGCTCTGTTTCTTAGCCTACTCTACAGCCACCTGTCTGAAGGCCTGGGCAGCCACTAAGGACAGGAGGGGCTA